AGACGCTGGACACTCACAGTGCTCTCCTCCCGCAGCACTCGGCCTCCTGTGACAGTTTCTCTCCTCCCCGCTGGGACACAGAGCAGCACCCAGCGGGGAGGAGAGAAAGAACGGACAGTACAGGCTCTGAGCTGATAAACGCTTTGACCAAGCACCCCTCAATTTGCTATCGTCTTTGATCTATTTTTTTTAAACTTTTCTTTTTAAAAGCAGGAAGGAAACTCAAGCATCGGTTGGAACGTCTGCTTCATAGATGCAAAATGTTTCCATTCTGTTCATGTCGCTTTCCACTTTTTTATGCTCTGTTCTGTGGAAAGATGATTAAATGGGACCTGTTTTAGTTCCATTTCTAATACGTTTCCATTGTTTTTCTGCAATGACTAGTGAAATAGCAACTATGACAAAGGATCAAAATTTGAATGAAGTCTGAATTAAAAGGTCTCAAGAAATTGAACATTTCTTACTCTGAAGCCGACCACACACACACAGTGCAATCTGATTGTACAATCTTCTTTAAATTTACCAATAACTATGCACTGCAAAGTCTCCGCTGACCAAGTTTCTATTAAAAGAATGTTTTACCATAGGCCTTTGCTCTACAAATTTGTTGGTAAATCTAAAGCAAATTGTACAGAGGTTGTGCAATCAGATTGTAGCAGGTTTATGAAAGATCATTATAAGAAAGATCTTTCTGAAGATCACCACACATGTTGCAATCTGATTGTACAATCTCCTTTAGATCTACCAACAACTATGTAGTGCAAGTGCCTGTCTAAATGGATATGTATTGGTTGGTTAGATTAGGTAGGTCCTCATTTTTTCAGGCTGACCTGATCGGAAACCCAATGTTAGTCTATGGGAAGCCAGTTCAAAATGGACTGGCATCTGTTTATATCCGTTTACTATGGCCAGGATTAGAGTTACGTTTCAGCAGACCTGATCGTGATGGATTGGGGGTGATCTGATGTAAACAGACACGTTTACCCGTTTACATCTGACTCCCCTTAGAGCAACAACGGTACGGTAATTTCATGTTTTTTCCTCCATCGCACGATAGAGGAACCAGCATTACAGACACTGTTGTGACATCTGTTCCGATCAGCAGGGGATCCATGCATGAATCCTCTCCTGATTGGACAGTGTGAAAGGGGCCTAAAGAAAATCGTTTGATCTATACAAAACTGACACAACTAATCTATAGAACTAAAAATGTTTAGTCATGTTTTATCAAATAGATAATCTTCTCACATGCTCAAGTGTTTGTTTGTTTTTTGCACTGGAAAGTATTGGTTCAATATTATGTGACACCACCATGCAGACAGGGGTTGGGTGCTGAATGTGTCAGCGGTAAGTTAACAGCTGCTGCGTCACGTCCATGTTGGTCCTTGTAGTGCAGCTGACTTTGCCTGTAGGAAAAGCCTGGAGTGTCTCCCTTCAGGGGCTCTAGTGCCATCACGGGGAAGCCAATACCTGAAATGGACATTGAATTCCTGCAAGAAGGCATCAGCCATATTAGGTGGAGAATTTATGCCATCAGGCCTCTTAGTCCGTAGGGTTCAATATTGAGTTGGCCCACCCTTTGCAGCTATAACATTTTCAACTCTTCTGGGAAGGCGTCCACAAGGTTTAGGAGTGTGTTTTAGGGGAATGTTTGACCGTTCTTTCAGAAGCGCATTTGTGAGGTCAGGTACTGATGTTGGACGAGAAGGCCTGGCTCGCAGTCTCCGCTCTAATTCATCCCAAAGGTGTTCTATCGGGTTGAGGTCAGGACTCTGTGCAGGCCACTCAAGTTCCTCCACCCCAAACTCACTCATCCATGTCTTTATGGACCTTGCTTTGTGCACTGGTCATGTTGGAACAGGAAGGGGCCATCCCTAAACGGTTCCCACACAGTTGGGAGCATGAAATTGTCCAACATGTCTTGGTATGCTGATGCCTTAAGAGTTCCCTTCACTGGAACTAAGGGGCCAAGCCCAACCCCTGAAAAACAACCCCACACAATAATCCCCCCTCCACCAAACTTTACACTTGGCACAATGCAGGCAAGTACCGTTCTCCTGTCAACCGCCAAACCCAGACAGTCCATCGGATTGCCAGACAGAGAAGCGTGATTCGTCACTCCATAGAACATGTCTCCACTTCTCTAGAGTCCAGTGGGGGCGTGCTTTACACCACTGCATCCAACACTTTGCATTGCACTTGGTGATGTAAGTCTTGGATGCAGCTGCTCGGCCATGGAAATCCATTCCATGAAGCTCTCTACGCACTGTTGTTGTGCCAATCTGAAGGCCACACAAAGTTTGGGGGTCTGTAGCTATTGACTCTGCAGACGGTTGGCGACTTCTGCGCACTGTGCGCTTCAGCACGCGCTGACCCCGCTCTGCCGTTTTACGTGGCCTACCACTTCGTGGCTGAGTTGCTGTTGTTCCCAGTTGCTTCCACTTTGTTATAATACAATTAACAGTTGCCCGTAGAATATTTAGTAGCAAGAAAATTTAACGGAACACCTGAATCCAATGATTTGGAGGGGTGTCCCAATACTTTTGGCAATATAGTGTATGTTCCAAATGCCGCCACGTGGAGATTGCTCAACTGAACACCTCAGGGAGTTGCATTAATTTGGCAACTTTGGTTGAACGTGTATCTACACCCAAAAACTATTAAATATATATTGCAGCCTTCCAGGCGTTAGATGTGTTGACTGCAAAATGAAAACAAATGCAGGCACCACAACTTTAACTTAAAGGTTAAGTCCACCTGTAACACCAGTTCCATGTTACTCCTATACTTAGGGTGTAACATGGTACATGGTGCCATTCCCCAGCTCTCCGCTCATTCCCCAACTTACCTGGCTCATGGGATTCTCCTCCCTGTAGGCTCTGTTTTGTTTTTTAAATTGGACGCTCTGCCCAGGACCACCTCTTTAATGAGGCAGCCTGGGGCTGTTGCCTCAGGCCAGGTTCACACCTGGGTGATCCGTGACCATGCGGCAATACCGCACGGATTTGCCCACCACCAACGATCGCGCTGCCATTATTTTCTAATGGCACCCCAGGCATGCCGGGCAGATTGCACGATTTCCAGCCGCGATTCAACCCGTGCAACCGAACACGATTGCGTCTAAAACAGCCGCGCATCATGTATCGCAAAAAAGCTAAATGTGCCTTTTTCCTGCCATTGCCGCGGGGATGTAACCCCATTAAAATCAATGGGGCAATCGCTGTGTGCAATTGTGCACAATTTGCGCGGTCCCGAAATGTGTTTCCTGGATTGCCCAGGGCTGCAACCAGCGTGCACTCAGGCAGCATCTCTTTGGGTCACATGGGGAGGCCGCAGACATCTCTTTGTGCACAGCACAATGTCGTGCCCTTTCTGGCCAGAGCGTCGCAGGTTGCTAAGAGCCAGACGGGGAGATGTGTAAGAGCTATACACATCTCCCAGCCCAGCACTTAGCAACCTGGCATGCTCTGACCGGCATCCCCCCAAGCTCCTAGCAATCAGGCAGCAAAAGGGCTAGGAATGCCACTGGCTCTGCCCACACAGCCAGGCCATTCATTCACAGGATCATTCATAGGATCTGAAAATGAATATACAACAAGGACCCTATGTAAGTGGGGCACAGGGACTCTAGATCTCAATGGAGTACAAGTGTGATGACATCACTGCATTTGCAGTTCAGTTATAACTTCTTCCAGTCCCAAAGCCAAGGTCGGTAGCTCAATACCAACCCGGGGCTGGAGGAACAGTCGAAAGGAGCCCGAGCACTGGACCTGCCATCTGCTAATTGCAGTTGCAATACTTTGCAGGCTCCAATGCAAAAAAATAATGGATGCATATTTTCTCTTTTGGCGAATGCGTCAGCGGTAAGTTAACAGCTGCTGCGTCACGTCCATGTTGGTCCTTGTAGTGCAGCTGACTTTGCCTGTGATGACATCACTGCAATTGGAGTTCAGTTATAACTTCTTCCAGTCCCAAAGCCAAGGTCGGTAGCTCAATACCAACCCGGGGCTGGAGGAACAGTCGAAAGGAGCCCGAGCACTGGACCTGACATCTGCTCATTGCAGTTGCAATACTTTGCAGGCTCCAATGCAAAAAAAAATAGATGCATATTTTCTCTTTTTTTTTGCAATATGGGTGTGTTTATTTTTTTTGTGCAAAATTTGAAATATGCTTTTAATTATATTTGATTTGTTTCAGCTCAGTGAAGTTTGTAACTTAAGACTGCTATACGTTATTGTTATTGACTGCTGATAAAAGACCTGAAACAGCTAAATTGTGTCATTGCTCTTTATTCTTCTATTCATAACATCTGGTTGTTATAACAACATGTTAATATAGGTTTTCCCAGAAAGTGACTCTTTGTAATGTAGATGCATTTGCATGAAAGCTCATTCAGAAGTCTTATGTTATCCTATGTGCATGGCTAGCCTAAAAACAAAGTGCAGATGACTGACAGCACACCTATGTCAATGTGCTCATAGCCTGCACTGCAGCTGGGAAAACTTCTCGCTGTAGTCGTGTGCCAGTGTTAGAATCCCCCAATGAGATGCGTCGCCTAAGCTCCAGCTGAGAGCACATCTCCCCTGTGACTGGAGGGCAGCTACTTCTAATCCCGCCCCCCAACACACACGGCGTCCAATCGCAGCGCAGTTCTATTGACACCGCTCCACAAGTCCTTCTACGGCACGGGATGTACTACTATTATCCAACCCGCCGAATTAGTGTTAAAATTAGTATTCACTGCACACCACGAATTTAAACAAACTCCGCACAGAAACGAACTTTAACAAAATAATGTTTTACCGTTATAGCCTGAGTAAATTTAGTACCCGTTTTACTCTGCTCTCTCTGTTCTACGCCCCCCCCGTAAACGCTGGGAGTGGTTTCATCCATGCAGGGGCGTATGCTGCAAGGGATTTGAGCGAAGGGGGCGTGTCGTTCAACGCTTGGTGGGCGGGGTTCGGGGGACGGAGCGCTGCTGTTTGGGAGAGACGTGCAAGTGAACACAGGAGCGGGGGAGCGCTGTGCAGCAACGGATACATACATTAATTTCCAGCCACAATAATGTAACTGAGCCGAGTCATAGACGAGGGCGCAAAGCCAATTTCGGAGGTCGCCTGGGTAGGACAGAGCCAACAACCTCATGGACACTGGACGCCTGCTGTGACAAACTTCGCTATGGCTGCCCAGTCCAGGTAAGCGATCCCCAGTGTGTCCCCGACTTTGGACGGTAGGTGTGTTGACAGCTGCGGTCGGTGGCTGTGATCGCAGCACTGTCCGTCCAATACAGCCATCTGCACTTCCTAGCTCCAACTAATTATAGGGAACGGGCTCCATTCTGAATGGGGGAGGAGAGAGCTAGACGTTAACCCATCTGGGTAGCAGTAATGTGACACTTGTCTTGTCACATCCACTTTTCTCCAACTACTTCAAATGTGTCAATTGGAAAGTATATTCCACATCGTCTGAAAGCTCGATCCGAGCTCTCATAGTCAACAGGTGTGTGTATATGGCTCGAAGTATTCAGCAGCAAGCATACAAAGGGTGGCAATGCAACAGGGAGGCTGAGGAAGCCACAAGCAATTAACCCTGCTTACATCTAACATGGCTGGCTTGTCTCCCTGCCTGATCCTGGCTTTCCAGACAGGCTGGGTTGGCTGATGCTAGTGTCAGTCGAGTTGTGTTACTCTAAACCTCACCATGTTTGTTACAATCTGATTGTACAATCTGCTTTTAGATCTATCAACAACAATGTAGTACAGGGGTCTGTCTGATTGGGTAGATTAGGTAGGCCCTCATAATATTGTTTTGGTAAATCTAAAGTTGATTGCAACATGTATGGTGAGCCTTTGAGCTACCTATAGCTATACAGTACAGGGGCCTGCTTGATTGGTTACAGATTGATTGGCTAGATTAGGTAGGTCCTCACTACATAGCCTTGGTAAATAGAAAGTTGATTGTACAGTTAGATTGTAACGTCTTTGGTGAGCCTTTGGCTCCATTCATAGGTGGCGCAGAAAAATGTGCCAACAGTAACATATGTGCAGATATAGTAATAGCGGCAAACGTGCAGATTCCGGCCATAAAATCGTGCTAGGACTTGTTTGTGGGACGTGCGTTTTTGTACCACGCAGGCACCGCCCTAGTGCAAACTGTTTGCAAGGCAAAGCATTTTTTTTAACCTTTAGTGCGTTTAACTGCTAATGTGTGAATGGGGGCTGAGATCTACAAGGGCCTGCCTGATTGGATACAATATGCAGTGGCGTCACAAGGGGGGTGCGGGCTGGTGACACCAAAATGACTGACAGTCATTTTGGTGTCGCCCCCTCTAAAAAGTTGGGCACTCGGTTATGGAATGAGAGCTTGGCAGTGTCAGATGAGAGGAGGGGACCAGGCAGCATACCTCATCCTGCAGGGTGAACGTCCCCTCCTCTCTCTGCTGGCGACCACTACCAAGATGGCCGCCGGCAGGCGTCAATTAGACAGCAGCGCATGTGCAATGACGTCGTCGTGCATGGTGATGCCAATGACGTCACGGTGTGGTGTCACCTCTCCGGGTCACACCCGGCCTCAAGATGCCCCTGACAATATGATTGGATAGATTAGGTAGGTCCTCATCCTCATATTACGCAGTGTCAGATGAGAGGAGGGGACCCGGCAGCATACCTCATCCCGCAGGGTGAACGTCCCCTCCTCTCTCTGCCGGCGTCCACCACCAAGATGGCCGCGCATGTGCAATGACGTCGTCGTGCATGGTGACACCACGAGAATGCGCGATGATGTCACGGCGGGGTGTCACCCGTTCTCCTCTCCGGGTGACACCCTGCCTCAAGACTCCCCTGATAAAATGATTGGATAGATTAGGTAGGTCCTCATATTACATAGTTTAAGTCAAACAAGTCGGGCTTGTACATTGTAAAGTGTTTGGTGACCCTATAGGTTACAATCAGACTGTACAATCTCTCTTAAGCTCACCACACATGTGATTTGTACAAACTGCTTTGGATCGACCAACAAGTATGCAGTACAAAGACCAGCCTAAATGGTTGCACATAGACTGGATAGATTAGGTAGGCCCTCCTATTATGGCGTTTTGGTGGATCTAAAGCAGTCTGTACAGTCAGATTGTAATGCGTATGGCAGGAGTGGGCAGCTGTGGCTGTGCTATAACTATAAAAACCCAACATGCCTCTGTTAGTCTTGCCTGTAACTGCCAGTCTTGTAATGCCTCATGGGACTTGTAGTTCCACCACAGCTGGAGGGCCAGAGTTTGCCCACACCTGGTGTGAATGATGCCTAAAAGCAGGGATGGGCAAACCCTAGCTATCCTGTTGTTTTGGAACCACTAATCCCAACATGCCTTTGCATCTGGGTGTCATGTCTGTGGCTCAGTCTTGCAATGCCTCATGGGACTTGTAGTTTTTCACAACAGCTGGAGTGCCGGAGTTGCCCACCTCTGGTGTATGGTGAACTGCCAGTGTAATACAAGGGCCTGCCTGATTGGCTAGGTTAGGTAGGTGCGGCTATAACCTAGATTTGGTAAATCTAGGCTTGTTTGTAGCAGTTGAGTTTTGTGTATAGAAAACACATCAAACTGTTTGCCATAACTTGTGTATAACGTTGACGTTTCAGCTTGATGTAACTGCTGCCCTTTTATATATCATTATCTCCTCTGTACTAGAGCTGGGAGTATTATCATTCCACGCTTTCTGTAAGAATTTGGGTTTTGGCGTATGCTTGGGCTGGGGAAGATTAGGCAAGTGCCATGTCAGCAAAGTTATTTTGATTGAGATTTATGTGAGCGGTGATGTTACTGGCAGCTCACATTTATACAACGCTTCAAATGACAACACTACCGCTGATTGTGATTGCATACTCCTCAATCGTCAGCGAAGCTGACCATATACCTATAGATGGAATTTGTTCAGCCTGTAAGAAATCCACACTACATAGCACGGATGAGGGAATCTGCCCTGCTGGCTATTGGATTCAGACAGCTGGAGCCTGACTCTGACAGAATACCTGAACAGTGACTGCGTCTGATTTGGCTGCTCTCACTGTTCAGCCAACAATTTTCCACCTGTCTCCTTCAAAAAAAGTCGGGTGAGTGATTGACTTTTGTCGCGTTGGCAGGACCGCCAACTGTTTTGGATGATTCCGGTGAAACGGCTGTAATTCTAAACGCGTATGGCCATGATATGATTGTGAAGAGATTATCTCCCGATAGACACAGGGGTGGGCAAACTCTGGCCCTCCAGCTGTTGTGGAACTACAAATCCCACGAGGCATTGCAAGATTCTCACAGCCACAGGCAGGATTACCAGAGACAGATGCCTCATGGGATTTGTAGTGTGGATCAAGCTTTTTATCTTGTTTAGCCTGTGATGCTGTGAACTTTAGACGTATGGGCAGCTTTAGATAATGTATGTTTGACTAGAATTGCACATTTCTGGAAGGCTGCTATCTTATGTCTAAAGAGCTGCTAAAAACCAGAATAATCCTTTATAATAAAGTGGTTGTCAATGTGCTACTACTCCTACGCCTCTAGGAGTAGTAACAGACATAAGGGGTACTCCAGCTTTTCATCTTAAAGTAGTTCTAAAGGCTAGGGGTTTTTTATGTTAATGCATTCTCTGCACCTAAGTACCTTTTGCATGCCCCCCAGCTCCAAACACTTACCTTTCACCCCTTGTCACCTCCGCTGGGTCCAGGGAGATAGCTGCTGTTCCCCAAACTTTGATGTTGGGAGGAGGGTATTGAGGGCAGTGGAGCCATTAGCTCCTGCTACTGTCAGTCAAACTTATGGTAGGAGAGAGCAGGGGCATGGCTTGCCATTTGATGTGTGTGCTTAGGGATGCACACAGGTCACACGCACCAACACGGGGATGCGCACATACAGGTGTCTCCTAAGTAGCTGGCAGTCTGTATGTCCATCACGTTCACTAACTTCCTGGATTCCCAGTGTGCTTTGCTTCTCTTTCCCTGCTGCTTGATGTGATGCAATCTCGATTGCTCAAGACTCCATTTACCATAATGCATTGCTTCCAGCAAGTAATGATAATGCTATATTGTTCAGACGGTGAAGGCAGACTCAGAATTGTGACACAAGAGAAGTGCATTTTCACAGGGTTGAGTGAAATTGTCCGTCCATGGAGGAAGTACATCTTACGGACATCTGCAATAAGTAAACTTCTACATTAATGTGGTGAGTGGGAGAGAACTTTTGGAAATTCAATATAGAAACGCATATTTCTTTTTAGTTTTCGACCACTTTTGGGGGTACTTTTCATGTACTGACACTTCACTGTAAAAAAAGGGGTACATGACATCACAAAGTTGAGATACTGCTGTATTACATTTGTAGTGACGTTGCTGTGTTAAGCTCACCGCATACATTACAATCTAATCGTACAATCTACTTTGGATCTACCAACAAGTATTTAATGCAAGGGTCTGTTTTGGTAGATCTAATGTTGTCTAGAGCGGCAGAATCTCCACTCTTACATCAGAGGAAGTGGCAGGTGCTGCTTGAAAATAGTTCCCCCCTGAGGGGTATGCATTTTCTTACCATATATGGAGAACACATATACATTAGTTTACACTCGTGAGGTCTTGTTTTAACCATGCTGTAAGGACACATGTAATACTTTACTTATATTAAAGGTTATGGGCATAGCTTCAAAGGACTGACGCAAGGTTACTTTTTTTTATCACTGCTTATCATTTGTTTTGTATCTCTCAGTACAGTAGTGGGCACACTTTGGCCCTCCAGCTGTGGTGAGACTACAAATCTCATGATGCATGTCTCCAGGAGTCATGTGTGTGGCTGTGAGAATCTTGCAATGCATCATGGGATGTGTAGTTCCACAACAGCTAGAGGGCTGGAGTTTGCCCACCCCTGTTTTCATATGTAGCAGCAGATACTTGATCCCCCACATTGCACTCAAAATTGTAGCAGTTGTCCATAGTAACCTATCCGCTTCCATGTTCAGTTTGTTCAGGTAAGCTTTAAAAATGGACCAATCAGCTTCTCTATTTCATTTTTAACGCATGACTGAGCTAACTGAAGAGAGAAGCTGTCATGCACAGCTACTCCACATTCTGTCTGCTCCAGTTTTTATAAATTCCTCTTCATTGCTGATAAGGTTTGTCAGTTGCTGTTAATATGTGAGGTAAAAAGTGTTTTGCTATGTAT